CTACGGTTTGCATTCGGTTTATATGTTCCCACTGGGTGAAAGTCCAAGTTCTTTCTTCAATGTTGACTTGTCATTTATCATCTCACTTTCATCGTAACCCCTGCACTGCATTGAGCTGTAAAGAAGAAGAAAATAATCACTCCTTGTTACTTGGGGATATAATTACTTAGACTGAAATAAAAGAAGAATTTAAAATGTGAATTTTTAACACAACATAGTGTGAACCATAATTCACATTAGTATAAATTGATCAATATGAATCATGTATCGGATTTAAAAAAGGGTCGTGTATCGACTGATACGGCAAACATTATCTGAATCACTTCTTTTTATTCTATTCTACTATTACCATAATTTGTTATTTATTTTATTTTCCTGACTAGACCATACCTTATTTATTGGAATATTAAAGTGAGCCAAATATCATCAAAAAGTATGTCTCATGTAAGTAATAAAATACTAATAATAATTATGAATTATAACTTACTAAGAATTAGTTTGGTGACTATTGAATAAATCTGCTAACACAATGGGCATACCGTAATATCTGGATCAAGTATTTTCCTCTGCCCCTTAGCAACCGATAGAAATGCTCCATGTGATATCACATCCCGATATAAATTACCTCCACTCATTCACTCTTACCTTTATAGAATATAATTAGTCTTCTTACTGTCTCTATTCACTCACAATCTCACACACACAATCACACAATGAATATTCAGAACACAAAAGCTCATCAATAGCGTGTTCAAGACCTCTCATCTCCGCCACTGGTCGCACCAAACTATTCAGATCACAGATCATACCTCAGACCGTCACCCTCTTTGCCCTGTTCACTTCACAGGTCGCTCTTCCAACAAGCCATTCTGAAACGAAATCTGACTCACTGTAGCCATTGGCGTCATGAAGCTCCTCCACTCACAACTCTCACCTCAGATACTCTTTCACTTTGCACGGTCAATTTTTTTCACAAGAATTTGGAGTCCTACACCAACCTTATCTCCAATTTTTAAGTATACGGTTGGTTTGTGATATATGAATTTTGAATTCCAAAAAATTAGAATGTAAATAAAAGGATATTTTGATATAAGTATTCACCTTTTTACTCTCTTTGAATAGTTAAGAGGGTTATTTGATTAAAAATTTAGATAAGGGGTTTATTATAAAAGAATACAAATTGAGGGGTTTTTTTATTTACTTTACCCATATAAAATAAATATTTTTGTAAAATAACCGAAAAGTAAGGACACTCTTCACATGCAAAAAACACCTATAAAGTTTCAATTTGGTGCAAATAAGCTCCTCTAACAAATTTAAATCATAAGTTAACTAAATTATCCTTACTGAACCATTTTATAAAATATATAAAAATAAATAATTTTATTAAATAACTGAAAATGACATTATTGGAGGAAGCTGACAATGGACAAGTAAAGATAAAAATAGAAAATAAAAAGAAAAAGAAAAGTAAAGATAAAAATAGAAAATTAAAAACAAAAATAAAGTGCAAACTAAAGGAAATCTGCTCCAAATTTCGAAAACTAGTGCACACTAATATTGAGAAATTTTTTTCCCTTTTTTTCGTTTAATAGTGTTGGCACGAAATAAAATAAAATAAAGAAAAAAAAAATTAGAAAACAGTAAACTAAAATCTCAAAAAATTTAAATCTTTGTTCTACAAATTTTCAAAGTTAAAAAAAAAGAAGAAGAAGAAGTTTAAAGATATATAGAGAAAAAAATTTCAAAAAATATATATATAAAGTAATGTGCACATAACACCCATGTATTATGAGATTAGTAATATAGATACCCTTTGGGCATTTTTGGAAGAATAAAAGGGCAAAACGGATATTCAACACTAATTTATGTCAAATTTCTGATTGAGGAGTATTTTTGCACAATATAAAAAGATTAGTAGTGTTTTTTGCACACTTTTTAAAATCAAGGGTAAAAGTGCTATGACTGTTTTCTGCACTTGTCTCCATTATTAATATTCATCGAGAACAAAAGTGTATGTAAATGATGCATTAACTCGGAAAAGGAAAATTTAACTGGATATAATAAATTGGGTAGGTTGATAATAAAAATTCTCAATGAATAGATTGAAATTAATCACCTTCTCTCAATCTCTCATCAATTAGCTCATTAGAGACGAAAGAATTAATATACGTTGCAAAGATCAATTAGCATATAACTATGAGATAACAATCCAGATATAGAGAACCTATCAGAAAAAAAAAATCCAGATACAGATGTCATAATGCCCTTTTTTATTGAATTATACATAATTTTTTCTTATTGAAATAAATTATGAAAAAATTCATAGTAATTTGATGACATATTTTTCATTTCTTTTTGCATAAATTTAACTTTAATTTTTACAATTAATTATTTAAATAAAAATCTTAAGTAGATAAATTTAAAACAATTTAAATACGTTTTAATTTTTTATGAATATATTGAATGAAAAGGAAAGTATTTTTATTTGAGTAATTTATTAATTTTTCATAAATTATATGAAAAATATTGTATTTTTTTTAAAATAAAAAATTTAGACAGAGTATAATGAGCTATACTATAAATAATAAATTAATCATTTAAAAATTTAGACAGAGTATAATGAGCTATACTATAAATAATAAATTAATCATTTAAAAAAAATGATAAATACAAATCTGTTTATTTATTTTTCAATTTGTATGAGATCAGTTGGTTGTGGGTTCAACTTAGGCCCAACACAGGTTAGAGAAATTTCAATTCAGCCCAACCCTTCAACCAAATTCTACAACCCTTGTGCACCGCCCAACCCACCTTCAAATTCTTAAATTCATTTGAGCTCTTTTTTTTTTTTTTTTTTTTTTTTTAAATTCTATTAAGCGTAAGTTAGAAAAATCAAGTTCAAAATTGGAATAATGCTACAAAATTTGATTGGTTTTTGTAGTTACAACAATAAATAGAGTTTAATAAGAATTTTTGTCTACTATTAAAAATTACAAGACCTCTTTTTCAGATACTTATCCCAATTACTAATTTTCACTCACACGTTCGACGAAATAGAGTCGACAATTGTATATTTTTTAAAAATTGACATAATCTCAAATTAGTTTTAGATTAATTACTTTAAGTATAAAAAATTCAAAAAAATTAATCTAAATTTATTATTATTATTTTAAAATTGACATAATCTCAAGTTAGTTTTCGATTAATTACTCCTAAGCATACAAAATTAAGAAAAATTAAACTAAATTTAGTAAAGGTACAAATATGGTTGCAAGTTGGGCAGGGCCAACCCAACCTCAACCAGAAATTGGGTTGGGTTGGCTAGTCCGAAGTTTGCCCAAAAATAGATTATGTCTATAATCCGAACTAAAAATATTTGGACGGGTCGGGTGGGTTTCACAAGTCAACTTTTTAATTTTATTTTTTTTTATTTAGGAAATTAAATTAATTATATTAATACGCAATAAATTAAGATTTAAAAAAAATAAAAATCTTAAAAGAGAAGACTAGTTATAATTTGAAATATATAAATCTATATTAAATATAAAAAATATAATTTATTCAATTCTAATCATAAAACTTAAGCCCTGTTAGGTAACCGTTTTTGTTTATTGTTTATCATTTAAGTTTAAACATAAGGAGTGTTTATGTGTAGCTTTTGTTTATCATATATTATTTGATAATGTAAAAATATTTGTCTTATTTCAAAAACATTAAACAAAAAAACATGTTTGTTATCTTAAACTCTATTATTATTATTATTATTATTATTAAATTAACACTAGTTTTAAACAAATAATAAAAGTATTTATGAAGTGTCCAATTATCATTTAACAAAGTTACTCACAACCTTAGCAAATGTGGTACTCATAAAAAAAACTATTTATCTTAAGTGGATTGTGGCCCTCTTGGTTATCTAAAGCCACATAGAATGATGTTTGTTTTGCTTCTTAACTTGTTGCTTTCTTCATTTAACACAAAAAAAAAAAAAAAAAAAAAAAAAAAAAGGAAAAAAAGAAGGAAAAGGCTATAAACATAAACACATAATCATAAACGTTGTTTTGACGTTTATAAAGTTGTCCCATGTGAACACTAATTATATAAATAATTTATATAATGGATAAACATAAACAATATTAACAAACATATTTTTCTTCAAAATCTATTTATATAAATAATAGGGTTAATTTCACTGACACCCCTTAAATTTGGTCAAATATCACATTCAAATATCTTTCGAAAATAACTATTACTCATATTACAAACTTTTGCTCCGTTTTTCACTTACAATCCAACCGTTATTTGCATAGGTTTTTATTTTTATTTTTATTTTTTTATGACACAATGTAAAAGGACTTAAATATCTTTTGATTTTGTCAAAATAACTCTTTAACTTAAATAATTAGATAAAAGATTAAAATATCCCTAAATATTTTATAAATTTACAAATCATATTATATATCTTTATTGTTTCTTATGTTATATATATATATATATTAAATATTTTTTTTAGAATACCACAATTACCCTTTCAGTTACTATATATATATATATATATATATATATATATATATATATATATATATAGTAACTGAAAGGGTAATTGTGGTATTCTAAAAAAAATATTTATTTATACAATTAGGATTAGAAGTGTCATTTCCTTTAAGAATGTAATATAAGTATAGAAAAATTATGTTAACTTTTCGTCTGATTCTGTATTGGCGGATATTTTCGAAATGAATTTAAGTAATACTTATTTTCAAAAGATGTTTAAAAATAATATTTAGTTGTCAATAAAATTAACTCTAAATAATAAATTGTAAATATAAGTAATTATCAAACGGGTAGCTAGTTATCCAAATCTACAAAATTTCGACACCATATTCAACATGTAGCCCAAAATAAATAAAAGTGGGGTCTGACTTATAATTGGCCACTTTGCTGTATACTAATAAAAAACAAAATTATAGTCGACATCCTTGGTCCGACACTCCTACATATATCCGTAGTAATCCATATATCCTGTTAAGAGTATATCTCTATCCTGTTCCGCCCTAAGAAGAAAGAAGCAGTAAAAAGAAGGAATGGAAGGCCATGAACAGCAAAACAAATCAAGGGTTTTGAAGGTGAACTCTGAGGAGACATGGGATTTCTATGTAACCCAAGCCACCAACCAAGGTCGCCCTGTAAGTTATATTCCACGCCTCCACTTCAGATCTTCATATTCTATTTTTCAATCTTTTCAATTGTATCCTAATTTCAGATATCTTAACCTGGGATTCTTGTCGTCAAACAGAAAAATTCCTTCAAAATGATTCACTGAATATTATTCCTTGCTCAATTTTAAGTTTTACTCATTCTCCTTAATTTGTGTAACTACCATTCTCCTTGAAGTCTTCCCCCTTGTTTATATCTCTGTATGTGTGTATATATTAAGTCAACTTATAAATACAGCTATTTAGATAAAGCCCAGTGTAATTTAATCACAAACAGCAATTATCTAATTCTGGTAATAATTTTGAGGGTGTAGTAATATTCATATATATATATATATGATTATTTGGATTGTTTGCCACATACATACCTTTTGAAAATGTTGTTGGTGGAATTGTAGATTGTGGCACACTTTACAGCTTCATGGTGCATGCCATCAGTGGCAATGAACCCATTTTTGGAGGAATTGGCCTCAACTTACCAAGATGTACTGTTTCTCACAGTTGATGTGGATGATGTCAAGGTAATTCATCTCATTCCAGTGTAAGAATGATATAATCTTTTATGTACAATATGGTGCAAGAATGTGCATAATGAGATTATTTCTCTTGTTGATTGGTATGCTACGCATGCATCAATGGATTGGGTTTATTTGGGATAAAAAATTGGGATTTAATTTCATACCTTCAATTATAATTATTATAATAATTATTATTTTTTTCTTACCATTATTATTGGGGTTTTTTTTTATTTTTATTTATTTATTTATTTATTTTTTCATGTTAAAAGAAAGTCTAATCCAGTATACAAGGTTCATAGTGGTGAGTGTTTATAATGTGCCCGCCAACATCTCCTACACTTATAAAATTTTAAATATTATAGACATGTCTAAAACGTGTCAGACCTGCATGCCTAAAAATGTCAAAGAAGTGTCAGTGTCAGAAAGATGTCTGACATGGATATGGCTCCTTTTAGAAGTGTCCTCTCTTCGTTGGTGGTCGTAATCATTGTAATAGGATTCGTAAATGAGAGACTATTAGAACGGCTCTGACACATTCAATTAGACCTAGGGGTGAATAGGTCTTATGGATATTAACTTGCAGCAATCTAACTTTTGAGTTATTGTTAATTCTTCTTTAAAATTTGATCAATTAGTTTGATTTCATCTCTCAATTATATAAATATGTAAAGTAATAAATGAATAAAGTAGAGATACAAGACTTTTTATGTGGAAAACCTTAAACAGGAAAAACCATGGGACCTAGTTCAGGCAGCTCAAGGTTCACTATACGATAAAAATGTTATAAACTAAGTTATAGACTCTAACCCATGAATCACCTAGTCCCTATTGACTCAGACTTACCCAAAACCTTCCTAGGTCCTCCAACTGCTCATCCATTGACAGACTCTCTCCTGCTGCAATTTGTTTCTCCATGGACTTCTGATCTCCACAAATGGTGGCGTCCAATCAACTTGTTCTTTGCTAACCACTCGGTTGATGCTTTGATTGATAAAACAATTTTGCTCATTGCTTTAATTCTTTCAATCAAAAATAGTAGGGTAATTTATGAAAAAACGTAGACTGATTATCAAAACTCCCTCTCTCTCTCTAAAAATATAAATTCTCAGATAAAGAGTTAAAAGCTTCCTGTGACAGATACCTTAGACTTACTATACGCCATATTTATAGCCAATCTAGGAGACTTATATGGTATGGTAAGCAAAATCCTTCTAGAATTCTGATTTGAAAGTGTTTTCATATTAGTGTGTCTGCAAGGTTTGATCATTCGAGCTTTCGATCGATCATTACCAAGCAAGATTCGATCAAATGACAAATCGGTCAAGGTATCCTGAATTTCAAAAAAAGATTTCTGCAAAAATCTTGATGGATCAACCATTGGGTTGAGGTTTACTTTTATGTAAAAGTCCCTGTTTTTTGAAAATCATTTCATCAAAAACCTCAGATTTGATAAATAGGACTGAACAATATTTAGTGTCTTCTAAAAATCAAACCTAGGTCATAACTGTTCACTATGGTCTCAACTTCATTAACCTATTTATTGATCGAGTTGAGAGATTTGTCACTTAGCCCCATCTCTATCATCTCTTGAGGTGTTAGAAAACGGCTCACAACATTGACACACATTACGATCCATGTTTTTAGTAGGAAATTGCCAACAATTGACTCATACTTCTATCAACTCTTTTGAAAGTTTTGATGTATTTGTATGAAGGCGGATAGAATTCTAGAGTGCCTTAAAGAAGAGTTCATAACAGAGAGACAATGAAAGAGAGTTTAATCGAATTGCTTGGTATGCTTCAATGTAAATGTAATAAAGATTTCTTTGGTTGTTGTCCTATATTAGATCTAAATATCTACTGTTATGTTTCAAGGTTGCAAAGCCCAGGTTACTAAAATGTTGAATATTATTTCCACAAAGTAGTGTAGTTTGACAAGTAGTCTGCAGTGTTATAGAGAGGGGGGCCTTGGCACAATGGTAACATTGCTGCACTGTGACCTAGTGGTCACGGTTCGAAGTGGAAAATAGCCTCTGTGCAGAATAAGGATGCGTTGACTTGATGCTCCCCAGATTCCTCCCCCCCCCCCCCCCCCCCCCCCCACCAATGGTGGGAGTCTCATGCACTAGGTTAGGGAAAAAAAACAAAGCCTGTTGTATTATGGAGTGTAGCATTGTCGCATGCATCATAACAATTATGCGTTTCCATTCTGGTGAGTTCTTTCTTGTTCTGCTCCAAAACCTTTGTCTCTCGAAACAGCTAGTCATCACCATTCTGGTGTGTTCCATCTTGTTCTGCTCCAAAACTTCTGATGCTATCCCTGGTGGGAAATGATTGATGTTAAGCTCATTCCAATGTTATTTATTTATTATTATTTTTATGAGAATAAATTGACACATGTTTGTGCAGAAATTGTAGTTGTCCTGAGGTTCACGTTTGTCTTGAAGTTTTAAAAAATTGAATTTATGAAAAACAAGAAGAGGAATGGGAATTCAGTACAAGTCTAAAATGTTTTAAAGAATTTAAATATGGGTCAAAGGAATTATAACAGGACGTCATTTCAAATTAAAAAAAAACAGTGGAACAGGACAAAGGAATAGATAAAAAACAGCAGTGAACAAGAGTGCAAAGTTATTGTGATAGATATCTTATACAATGCATGTACGCCATTGTTCCATTACATTTTCCTTTTGTTTTTCATATATTGTAAAATTTCTGAGGTATGAGTTGTCAACTAATTGTAGGCCAAGTTTTCTGAACAAGAGTGCAAAGTTTTGCCATTGTTGCATGTATTCGTCATGTCTGAGCTGTAAGCCAAATTTAACAATCAATCTATATGGTTAAACTTTTATGTTGGATAACTTAGCTTAAATTTTTTTCTGGCTTATTACTTAGAAACATGCATCGTCAAAGATGGATATGAACACATATATCTCTACAACGATAAGAGACCTCCCTGTCAAGGTTCCAATTAGGATAATCTCTGCATTGAACTCATGAAGCGAAGATACTAAAGAATTTGTTTTAGCTAACGTGGAGTTCTCCAAGAGTCTTTGCTAGATGATGTAGGAAGGTTTCTTTATGATGAGATTCATTTTTGAGAAAGTAAACCTGATTAGATGACATGCCATACATGGACACATATATAAATATGAAGTTTACATGAAGTATATATATACCTGAGTTGATGTTTTTCTTGTTTGGTTTTGTTAGGAGGTAGCAGCCAAATTTGAAGTAAAGGCCATGCCAACATTTTTGCTGATGAAGGATGGTGCTCGAATTGACAAGTTAGTGGGTGCCAATCCAGATAAGATAAGGAAAAGTATTGAGAGTCTTCTTCAGTCCAGTCAAATATATATGGCCTAGTCATGATATGTGCTTGTGCACATCTTGAAACTTCACAATATGTGGCTGCAGTAGTCCCGTTTTTATGTATTGAAAATGACATGTCTAAATGTGTAAATTGGATCTCAAGTGTGTAAATTAATATATATTTTGTGTGTGATGTGTGCGCCACATATGCATTACTTCTTTGGTTCTTTTGTACCATTGAATTTTGAATCACTTTGATGCTAAATAATTCCTGATTAAAGGCAATTTCGCTATGCTTAAAACAAATTGAGTAGACCTTTCTTGGGCCAACTCAATTCTGCTTAAAAGTAGATTCCAATTGTCAACTTTTAATTCTGCTATGTTTATTTTATAACCTTTTGTTCTTTAATTCTGCCTAAAAGTTCAGATATAAATCCGAGACTTTGTGAATTTGAATCAAATTTACGAGGATTTCCTAAATTCGATTACAAGATAATGGTTGTAGGGAGAGATTTGAAACCATCACTAAATTATCAAATTTATCGAGTTGTATCTACACTAACTACAGCATTTGTCATTTGTTTTGTACTGGGCCAGCAGTGTGCACATTTAAAGTGGATTTGGATCGCATCCAATATATTTTTTTTTATCTTCGAGGCTAAATGTGAGAGGTTAAAAAAACACCACATCGTCCTATATGTTTGCATTTAATTGTGTAAGTTTAAAAATAGGGAAAATTACATATAAATAGAGTTAAAGTTTCATATTTACTTAGAGACTGAGTCAAAGTTCCATATTTCTCTAAAATGGATTGCTGAGGTGGCACATGGTTTTTTACTGTTTAGAAAATTGTGGTACCTAAAATGCCCTTCCCTAACAAAAAAGTAGTACCTTCGAAGAAAAAGTAGTACCTTCGCGGGTGTTTAAAAAACATGGTACCTGGATACCAAAAAGTAGTACCTTCAGTTCAAAAAAGTAGTACCTTCGAAGAAAAAGTAGTACCTTCGCAGAAGGGTATTTTAGGCACCACAATTTCTAAACAGTAAAAAACCATGTGCCACCTCAGCAATCCATTTTAGAGAAATATGGAACTTTGACTCCGCCTCTAAGTAAATATGGAACTTTGACTCCATTTATATGTAATTTTCCCTTAAAAATATCTGTCTCAATACTCTGGACTACGTTAGTTCTTGTTGGGCCTTCCTTCGGCCTTCTTGTTAATTGTTGTACTGTAAATGTTCTCTTCCTTTCAGGGCCCTCCTTGGTCCCAATTGTAAACTTGCTTCAATGTTCCAAAAAAAAAAAAAATTGGTCACGCCAAAATGATTTAAGAAACACACATTAGCCTTTAGTTGAAGTATGAGCGGGGACATTTTCTTTTCTAATGAAAGATAAGATTTCAAACAATAAATAATTAAGAGAAACTAAGAGAAACTATAACCATCAATAAAGCCCATCTCAAAAGGCGTATCAGAAATATGAGAGAAAAGAAAGTCGTTGCTACAATCAAGACTCCTGATGATCTCTCAAGACTAGGGATCACCCATAGGAGGCCTCAATTATCTCCGAGATCGATCAATAGGCGCTATAGGAGGAGGATCTTATCATAATCATTTAAGAGCATTTTATTATTATTATCACTATTATTATTATTGTTTTTGAACTGTTAAGCAAATAGCATTTTATTATTCTTATATGGAAAAGTGAGATAGGTCCTTATTTTAACACTTCTAGAATTTGGGGATATTTTTTACAACATAGGGGTATATACACCATATCAAATACTAGATGAGTGGTTTTTTCACATTGAGGATTATACACATAGGGGTATGCACACTATATCAATACTAGATTATTGTTACTATTATTTTTCTGTATTAAGCTCAACAGAGTAATAAGTTAATACATAACACTCTGACAGAATATTTTAATCCAAACGTTCTACTTAGTAGTTTACATTCGTATTGTAGTGGGTGCCGACATAACATTAATAAGATGCATTATGATGTGTTTTAAGGATACAAATCCCTTTCTCTATTCCAAATTAGATGAACATTTTGACAATGATGACTGTCACAATTCCCAAAGTGATAGAGTACTTGGATCGGATGCTGCATTATCGCATTTCCATCCTGAAAAGAACATGCAGCAACTGTTTCAATGCGATGGGATTTCACCGTTTCACCACTCCACATAAAAAATGCATTTGCCTTATTTGTACATTATTAGTATTTTGGAACAGGATCAAAATCTTTTCCACCATTTGGCACAGATTCAATGATAACTTTTGCCTGAAATGAGTGAGGTTTGAATTTTGCTATGTTTTGTTTATAGTCTCACTTCAGATTATAGTAACAAAAGTTCTGTTAAGAGTAATAGAAATTGTTGAAAATTAGTGGTATAGACACACATGACACTCGATACAATTTTTAAAATGAGAAGTGAACTAAAGAAATATTTTTATTTTATTTAATTAAAAATAAGTAAAATACATAAAATTATATAGGGCTTCAAAACATATATGTAACAATTATATGTAAATAAAAATTAACATCACTAACATAATATTTAGTAGGCATAACTACCACTAACATAACAATTACTAGTTATAATTTATAACTCTCATGTCTCCTGCTAATTCCAACAAAAAACTCTCATTAACATAAAATTAAATATCAAATAAAAAACACTCATAATCGTCAAAGGCATTAAAAAATTTAATCAAGTTTAATTTTTAACACTCCCTTAAACTTGATTTTTTAACTCCAAGTAAACTTCTTAACTTGTGAAATTTTGTAAACTTGAGGGGCTTGGTGAAAATATACGTAATTTGGTTTTGTGACTTGATGAACTTGAGCTTCACCTCTTTCTTGGTTTAAACATTCTCTAATAAAATGAAATCTCGTGTTAATATGCTTGATTCGTTCATGAAACACCAAATTTTTTACCAAAGCAATTGTCGATTTGTTGTTCACAAAAATCTCCGTTGACTCTTCTTGTAACATGTGTAATTCCTTCAGCAAATTCCTCAACCAAATTGCTTGACAAACACATAAAGTGACTTCAACATATTCCGCTTCACAAGTTGAGAGGTGAAGGGTTGTTTCTTTGAACACCATGTGAGAGTTGTATTTCGCGTGAAGAGCCGGAAGTTCTTTTTCTATCATTCAAATCTTCGGCCCAATCGCTATCATAATAACCCACAAGCTTGAAATCATTAGAAAATGAATAAAACAATCCAAAATCAAGTGTACCTTTAATGTAACGAAGAATCCTCTTAGCCGCATTGACATGAGTCATGGTGAGTTTTTTCATAAGCCGGCTAATAAGCCCAACCGCAAACAATATGTCTTGCCTTGTGACTTTAAAAAAATATTGGATCTATCGTCTCTCTTCATCTTAATCTCTTGACACCCTGATTCCAAATTCAATGGACATGTTCACCCTGATTAATGACACTTGATTATATATGCAATTGCCTAATTTGATAGATTTTGATCGATACTAATTGATTTGTGTTGTATTTGTTTATAATTGTCAATGACGGGTTTGTACTAGTGTATAAGTGGCCGCTATTAACGTATTTATTGGAATATTCAGAGTTGGAACTAGGCAGGTTTGTATTAGTGTATGCTTGGTTGCCACTAACATATTCAGAGTAGGTTTGTATAAGCGTATGCTTGGTCGCCATTAACGCATTTATTTGAGAAATCAGGGTTGGAGCTAGGCAGTGATGAAACATAAAAAATAAAAAAAAAATCAGTTATTTTTTTATTTTATTTTTCTATTGTTACAAAGGGATGGCATAACACCTTACCGCCGTTGAGTAGCGGAGGTAGCCGCCGCGCCCCGCCCTATTTAGAGGGGTTATGAGAGTGGTTAAATGATTTAGGATGATATTAAGATTGAAAACATGCGCTATAGTTTTAAGACGAGATTAGGATTGAAAACATGAGGGATTGCTGGGCGGGCCGGGATGGAAATAGATCACCCTGTCATTTATAGTGATGCATTATAATTTTGCCCTTATTATTATTTTATTTTTATTTGAGAACATTTACTTATTATTTTTGATGTTTCTGCAATGATATTAATTTAATTTCTAAGTTGTAATTGAAAATTTGAATATTGACCTTATCAGTATAAGAGAGAAAATTTACCACCATGCATGATTAAAAAATTATATCATTATTTAACTTCGTTAAATTTATAATACAATTGCAAAACTCTCTTAAACCAGACTCTAAAATAAAGCTATAGGTTAGATCGAGATCACCCCGTCATTTATGGTGATGCATTATAATTTATAAGAATTGAAGCTCATTAAAAATGTTCAAGAACTTAAAGCCTCCATGAGAATAATTAAATTCTTTTATTATAACAAAAATCAATTCCAAATCTTTATTGAAAAAAATATGGAAGTACTGTAAATAAAATACTTGTCTCAATACAATTGCCCATCCGTATTATGTGAATTTAAAAAATAAATAAAATAAACATAACTAGTCAAAAGTCACGACTTTGTTGTAAAAATGTTCATTATCTTCATATACATGTAACAGGGACTGATGTGTAGAATAGAGGAAACAGAGATGGGCCTTCAGAAACTAGAATTGGTTTTCTCTAATTTTATAACCAAACACAATGCTCATTCAAATCTTTAACCAACAACCATCATCTTATTTTGTTTTCTAATCAACATGGAACCAAAAAAAAAAAAAAGGCAATATGAGGCAGTTAAAAAATAAATGGCAAAAATAATAAATCATAACTTCAATCTATTTTGGCAAACTCACTGGATTTTCTACATTCTAAAGCAACAAAATTTAAATGGCTCCAACAGAAAATTAACCACAACCACATTTCTGGACTGCCATACCATAGATTTGCTAGTATAATATGAGTTAGCAAAACCAAGACAAGGGCTTTGCTTCAATTTTCTTCATTGCTGAGCTGGAGCTGGGACAATCCAAGGAGAAGGCAACCCAATGCCCAAGTCATAATAATATATTGGAGTGATTCTCTTATCTTCCAAGCTGAAGATACCCACGTCATGAGAGTCTTCCAAGAATTCAGCATTAGGAGAAGTGAAGTAAACACAATTCATGGGTAACCCAGGGAAATCAGTGGGAGAGACGGAGATAGAGTCATTCATACCAACGAATAATGCCCTGTCGTGGCCTAAGCTTGGCAAAAGTAACCATTCCTTGTTAACAAAGTCTAGCTTATACACCTCAAATGATAAGGTCTTCTTGCAACGATGGTATGTATAGTACCTAACAACCAACAGTAACTCCCCTGAAGACTCCACAAGATAACGATCCAGCTCCGGGTTGCCGAACGGCGGAAAATGAGAAATGATGGGAGTCTTCTTTGGAGAGGCTGGGTTGCGGAGATCCCAAGCTTCTATACATCTTTCAGTGTAGGCATAAAAGTTTTGGTCGTTGCTGAAATAGATGAGATCTCTGTATATACCTGTTCCATCTAAGGCAGTCCATGCAGTATCCCCAATTCTGCAAAAGGCGAGTTCGCACGTCTCCAAGCCTTGGATGGCCATCACAGTGCACTGATCAGAAGAATGATTATTACCATCATCATCTACATCATGCTGGTGTTGATGATTAATGGAAGGGAATGGGGAGGGATCTGAGGATAAAACAATTTTTTTGAAGAAAGGCGACTCCTGTTCATCTTGATGACATAGTTCTTGAGATGATAAGGGATTGAACTGTTTCAAAGCGGTGTACTCAGTAACATAATTGTACATATAATTATTATTTATGGATGATGAAGAAGGTGTGGAAGAAGAAGAAGGAGAGGTGTGAATATTGGAATAGTCGCGGTAGCGTAGAGTTGAGATGATGCAAGGGAGGGTTTGGATAGGAGGGAGGGGGAGGTACGGGAGAGGAGAGTGGATGTATGGGTTGAAAAGGTAGAGAGAGCAATTGCGAGGGTGGATAAAGGCGAGCCAGCCACGAGACGAACCGAAGCAGATGGCCTCGTCGGGGGGAAGTATGTCCCTTTGCCATGGAAGCATCAGCCTAGGATTCCGCCTCATCTTTACCACTTTCTTCTCCCTAATGCTAAAGAACTGGTAGTAGTCCTTGTTCTTGTCCTTGGACTCCATTGTTACGAGCTTGTACCTTCTGCCGTTGTCTTCAGCAATCAAACCGGTGCCAGAAGGTAACATCAGGCACGGCGCTGATCGGAAAGGGAGGGGTCCTCGTGCCTCCTCTTCATCTACTACTGCTGCATCTGCCGTTGAAGAAGAAGAAGAAGAAAAGCAACGCTCGATCAACGAAAACGGCAAACTGACTGATCTGCCCCTAACACCATTAATTGTGCATTGGTGAAATCCGGCCGGATTGAAAATATTGCAGCATGTTTTTTTTAACATAGACGGGCGGCAATGCAGCATCCGATCACCAAAACTCCTCCAATTAGCCATATATCTCTTCCCTCTCAACTACTCGTCTCCACTTTTGATCATTCGTCACTCCCTATCCCAATACCCTAGATACAAAGTTTTTTACGAAAATTTAGATACAAAGTTACCAAAACCAAAATGATTTAGATTTTGTATGAAGTATTCCCCAAATCAAAATTCAATTATTTTATTAGAATTGAATTGATTGGAACTTTATTAATAAGAAAAAGAAAAAAAACTTATAAATCATAGTATGGAATTTATTAAAGTAAACGTACCTGGTTCATAGCAACCAGACTTCAATTCAGTAAAAAATCTTAACACAAGCAGAAATCATGCACGGTGCTGCAATTAAACTCATATATTTTATATATATATTTATATTATATTTTATACATATATTTACCAAATTTATATTATATTATTATTTATTATATTACTATATATACTAATTTCCTAAAATATTTTGATATCCAATTTGTTATATATATATTTTTACTCCACGCCATTGATTCCACTATTATTAGTGAGCTATAATGAAATAATTTTTTTACATTTTCTCTTTCACTTCACCGGTGCGTTAAAATGACTAAAAACATGATTATCAATCAGTGGGCATCACACTCAAAAATTGCATAATTTATTTATAAATTTGTTTTTTAAAATGTAAAGTGTATAATGGTAAATTAAGTAAAATAATTTTATTTCCTTTCTTTTTTTATACATGTATTATTATTATTATTATTTTTTTATTAATCAATCAATTACCACTTTCCTTTCCTTTCCCTTCCCTTCCCTTCCTTTCCTTTCCCTTATTCCCTTATAACCAGTGAAAGGATGTATGGTGACATGTATCGATTAGGGTTCTAGGTCACGAATAGAGTGGTATCCCAGAGAGGGGGAATGGCTAATTGGAGGAGTTTTGGCGATCGACTACTGTATTGCCACCGGTCTACGCTAAAAAAATGGTGCAATTGTCCCTATCCAGTAAGATTTCACAACTCCAGCACCACCCGTGGCGGTGGTGATTTGCTACTTGGAGACATAAAAAAAGTTGCAACCTTTCCGCAGATTCCCGGGAGTTCTTCTTTTTCTCCTCCACCTGTAAGTTCTCCTCGATTACTATCTTCGTCGCCATTGCTTTTGCTACCTCCCGGAGTGGTTGTTGTTGATGATAACAGAAGTTCAGTAAACAGGAACAGCCGCAGCAATGACGACTATTTTCATTTTTTCAGCCTTTTGGAACAGAGTCAATTTAGGATTCCGAAGAATCTTAGTTGTATACGATGGCAGAGGGACCTCCTTACGCCGCAGAACGTCTCGCTATGTGGTGGCTCTTCTGATGGATGGTTGGCTTTCACCGACAAACGCAATGGCCACCCTTATCTATACAACCCATTAATGGAGTCTCCAGATTTCCCCTACATTCCCCTCCCTTCCCTCAAAAACGTCGACTTCTATTCCGATGTTCGCAAACCCCCCTTCTCCCCTTCTCCTAACCCTCTTCTCCTCACACAGTTCATCATCGAAGACCGGAGTTATTTTTACCTACGAAAGCTTGTTATGTCATCAGCACCATCATTCCCCTGTTATTCATCATCATCATCATCTCCTCTCGGAAATGATTGCACTATAATGGCCACCCACAGCGCAACTAGTGGGATTGTCTTCTGCAAACCCGGGGACGATAGGTGGACTAAGTTGAAGGATTCGCTCTTTGATTTTAGGGACATAATATATTTCAGCAAGGACGAGCGATTTTATGCCTTGGATTTCTCTCATCATAGCATGGAAGCTTGGGACCTCAGAGACCCTTCTTGTCCCAAAAATCAAGTGTTTGATCGTCCTTCCTTTTGTCCTGGGAAACTTGAGCACAAATTTTTGGATCGTTGTAATTTTAATTGGACCAACCATTTAGTTGAATCCTCTGGGGATCTTTTGCTGCTTAAAAGGTTTAGAGCTCCAAGTGTTGTTGATCAATCTGGCTTTGCACATCCTCAGAGGTTGGAAGAGAAAGTAATGGAGAATAACAATATTCATGATGAGGAATGGGAAAATCATTCCCTTCACAACCGTGATGCCACTCTGGGATTTGATGTTCATAAGTTTGATTTCGATCACAATAAGTGGGAACATGTGGAATGCTTAGGGGACCAGGCATTGTTTGTAGGATTGAATACTTCTTTCTCTATCTCAACTTGCGATTATCCGCAGTTGATGGGGAATTCTATCTACTTCACGGATGATCTTCATGGCCATGATAATGGAGTCTTTCACCTAGAAGATGGCTGCATAAAACCTTGTTATCCAAAGCAGATTGAAGATCATTAACTCACCCCAGTTTGGGTTGCCCAACACAATTTAGTTCTACAATAACAACTACATATCTATCTTGTTTTGGCTTACTAATTAGTTTCACTTTCTTCCTTTCATCTATTATTATTTTGGAATTGTGAGAATTTCATTGTATAATCACATCAGACAAGATATATGTTGCAGAATGTTGGTTTTATGAACTAGTCTAATGTCGAGAAGCAACATATTTGTTTATTCTATAAATATATAGATAGATATATGTGCTCAATTTTTCATTTTTTATTTCTTATAATTCTGTATTTGTCAATTTTTTTTTTTTAATATATATATATATTTATAATATTGTGTTTGTTTATTTTCTCTAATTCTTGTCAATATAGTTCCTTTATCTTCAATTTTTATTTTATTTTTGGCAGACTTCATTTTGGCCTTGCTACCCTCTGTATGTAGATTGTTATCCCGTAGTTATATGCTAATTGCTCTTTGCATCCAAAATTAATTCTTCCGTCTCTTATGAGCTAATTGATGAGAGAAGGTGATTAATTCTTCTTTTCCATAGATTATTATGCTGTTAAGAGCATATCTCTAGCCTGTGCAGCCCTAAGAATAAGAAGCAAGAGAAGGTTTTGGAAGGCCAAGAACAGCAAAACAAATCAAGAGTCTTGAAGGTGAACTCTGAGGAGACATGGGATTTCTATGTAACCCAATCCACCACCAACCAAGGTTGCCCTGTGAGCTACATTCTATGCCTCAACTTCTGATCTTCATATTCCATTTTTCAATCTTTGCATTTGAATCTCTAATTTCAGATATCTTAACCTGGAAGTTTCCTAGTCAAACTGAAAAAATTCCTTTAAAATGATCACTGAATATAATTCCTCGCTCAATTTTCTGTTTTACTCATTCCCTTTCTCGCGCGTGACAATCCTGTTGGTTTATTTCTCTATATGTGTATATTAAGTCAGCTTTTAAATACAACTATTTAGATAATACCTGGTGTAAATTAGTCACAAACAGCTATTATATCATTCTACTAATGATTTTGAGGGTGCAGTGATATACATATACATATATATATGATTATTTGGATTGTTTGCCACAGACATACCTTTCGAAAATATGTTTTATGTATTAATTGAATTATTTTTTTTTTTTCCTGCGGTGTTTATTGGTGGAACTGTAGATTGTGGCACACTTTACAGCTTCATGGTGCATGCCGTCAATGGCAATGAAGCCATTTTTGGAGGAATTGGCCTCAACTTACCAAGATGTACTGTTTCTCAGAATCTCACAGATGATGTGGATGATGTGAAGGTAATTCATCTCATTTCAGTGTAAGAACGATATAATATTCTGTTCTTATGTAAAATATGCATTGTGCACAAGAATGTGAATATTGAGATTATTTCTCTGCTTGTTGATTGGTATGTTACATATGCATTATTGTCTAGGGTTTATGTAGGATCAAAATTGGGATTTGATTTCATACATTTAATTGTACTTATCAAAAAAAATTCATACATTTAATTGGATTTTTTTTTCTTCATACAATTATTATTAATTTTTATTTTATTTTTTCATGTTAAAAGAAAGTCTTATTCAATATACCAAGTTCATATCGGTGAGTCATGAGTGTTTATAAAGTGCCCGCCAACATCTCCTAAATAATACAATTTTTAATATTAGACAAGTCTAAAACGTGCGCATTTCTAACAATGTCACAGAAGTGCCGGTGTCAGAAACATATCTGACATGGATAGGGCTTTAGAAGTGGGGAGTGCCCTCTCTTCTTAGGTGGTAGCAATCCTTGTAATAGGATTTATAGAGTGTGAGACTATTACCAAGGCTTTGACACATTCAATTAGACCTAGGGTTGTATAGGTCTTATGAATATTTATTTGCAACAAACTAACTTTTTGATGTACTGATAATCCTTCTTTAAAATTCAATTAATTAGTTTGATTACAGGTCTCAATTACAATTATATAAATATACAAAGTAAAATAAAGCAGAGATACACGACTCTTTACGTAGAAAACCCTAAAGAGAAAAAAAAATCACAGGACCTAGTTTGGGCGCCCAAAATCCACTATATGAGAAAAATATTACAGACTTAAGTTAATAGACTCTAAACCAAGGATCATTTAGTCCCACCTGACTCAGACTTGCACAAGACCTCCCTCAATCCTCCAACTGCTGATCCATCGACAACTCACTCCTAATTCAATCTGTTTCTCCATGGATTTCTGATCTCCACAACTAGTGGCGTCCAATCAACTTATTAATTGCTAACTAGTCAGTTGATGCTTTGATTCATAATTTCAATTCTGCTCCTTGCTTTAATTTTTTCTATCAAGTATAGTATATTAATTTATGAAGAAGCCTAGAGTGATTATCAAAGTACTTGTAGTCCACTGAAGATAACAATATAATACAAATGAGTATGTATGAGTTGCTTGCATGTCTTCTCTTACCATCCTTGCCCTTTTTTGACCAAATTTAATATTATCTGTGCCCTTTTTCGACCAAAGGCTGGTTCTTTGCTAGCCATGGCTGAGCTACCAAGGATGTAGAGGTTTGCCAAAAAGATTTTCACAATGGTGTTTTAATCTATACGCGTTGCTTAGGGTATTGTGAGTGACCCCCTTCACCATTGATCACTTTGGTGTGTGGTCTTTGTTGTTGAATTATTAGGCCTCTATCTGACCTTATATATTATACAAATACCAAGTTAGGGGATGAGGTACTAATTGCTATTTGGTCAAGGCTGCTCCCTACATCAGTTGAATGTTAGTGGCTGCCATCAGATTGGGCATTCTGGAATTATAGCCATTGCAAGAGGCTTAGCTACCTAGACATAAGTGTTCTTCAAAGATGGTGTTTATATGTCATTTTTTCTATGATCAGTTACTATGGTCCTAACTGTTATTTTGATTTCCAAATATAAACATTTGATTACTAGCATACTTTCATGAGGTCTTCGATATTGTTGTTTTGATGTATGCCTAACTTATTAGTTTAATTACTTTCATCTTTATTGAATTTCAGGATATCAAGGAATCAGTTCCATCAGATTTCAGGCATCAATTTTCATTCCTTGTTCAATCAATGCTTCAGGTAAACACTTGTATTCCATAGTCAGTAGAAGTGCAGGGTTTTAGTGCACAACATTTATGAATAAGATAACAACAATGCTAGAGAGTCTTAAGTGTTGTATTTTTTCTCAATCATAAACCATTGGAGGTATCACATTCTGACCTTGGTTTGAGTGGGGATCCAAGAAGGAACCAGTTCTGTACTTAACAAAAAAAAAAAGAAGGAACCAGTTCTGAATTTGATTTCCATTTCAGTAGTGCTGCATTTTTTTTCACTAACAAAAACTTTGAATTAGTTACATGTTTTGTGAAATACTAAATGCCAATTCTTGTGTTTTCTCCTATGTTATGATCCATTCCATTTTTAGCTCATCAAGAACCATGTAATTAATAGTTAAACTGATCAGGAGCCTTGAATAATTCCTCAGTCAATAATTTCATTTTTGTGATAGTTTTCTGAGCAATTCTTGATGTAATAAAGTAATGAACTAGATGGTGTTGGTTTTTTTCAGCCTCAAGAATAAACTTTAGATTCTTGTTTAGGTCAATTAAAGGAGTTAGTAACCTTATTAGGCTTGCACCAGTGAGTTTAAAAGAGTAAATATGATATTCTTTTGATAAGTTTTACAAATAGCTCTGTACTCAGTTTTTTCAGGTTCTCCAACGGATCACCCATTGAAACTCAATTTGAGGAATGCACAAGGGGGACTATTCCATATATGCATTAGACTGAATTTTTTTTGATAAAGAGTTGAATGCCACAGCAGACGAGTGTCCACTGATGTCCATGATTTCACATCGCAGCATCGGGGTGCCAGAGGTTAGTTGTATGCTTTTGTGTGCTAAGAAACCTTCAAAATTTGATGATACACATTTTAACTTATTAATCCACATAAATAAGGTAAAATTTTCAATTAATTTTGTGGCATCTTAAGACATAATCTATTGTTGATATTATTATCTTACATTGTTTTGTAGCCAACTGTTGTCTGGGTTTACTAGTTATCATTACCAAACTCCTCTTTTTTACTTCCACAGTTTCAATTAGAATTGAGATATCAAAACAGAATGAAAATAGGTAGCTAACTGCCCTTACTGTTAGTACTATTTCATGTTTTAGAATATGTTTATCTGAAGCAAATTTGTGATTGAAATTACATCATATTTGCATTACATCTTGTGGTTCACCTCCATATCTATTTGTATGAAAATGGTTATTAAACTGATATGTTCTTTAATTTTCTAAAGATGATATGTTCTTTAATTTTCTTCTCTTTTGAATTCTAGGTCATATATGTAGTGAGTGACATGGTTTTTCTTTCATTTGAAATGGGTCTTTATTTTATTTTATTTTATTTTTTTATTTTTTATAATATTGAAAATATGGTGATAGTGACTTGCTTACCAGTTACCAGCAACCAAAGAATCCTGAAACTTTCCCTGCTTTGCTTTTCTGCCATTTGGATTACTAGGTATGGTTTTCTTAATATGAATTTCTACTTTTATGTTTACTTAATTGAGTAGCAACCAGTGATTAACCACTTCCCTTTTTTTTTTTTCTTTTTTTTTTTCCTGAGGATAATCATTGTGATACAAGGGAAATTCTTAACTCAAAACACAGCCTAAAGATTGTGAACATGATGAGGTTGATTATACAAGTTTTGGTGTTTTATTGTCTAAATTATATGTTTGTGAGCTTCTTGTTATTAACAGAGGCTAAGCATGTTAAATAATTTTGGTTTACTGTAGTCAGTCTGGTATGTTTAATACAAATTGTCCTCCTTTATAGTTGATGAAAAAAAAGAGAGTTTTTTTCTTCTATGTATTTGTAGGTTGTGGTTTGGGTGGACATAAAGAGAGTTTTGAAGAATAGGTTTTGTAAAAGTATTCTGTGAAATTTTCTGATAATTTATGTAAAAG